TTATAATTGAAATAAATATTATTGCATTCCTATGATTTTGATTCAACATTTATGGTAGATTTACAGTAATGAATTATTTTCTAAGCATTTTCGTAATACAGGTAAGGGACAACAACTGTAAGTATAAGATGTAAATTTAATATCATTTAAATATAGAATATTTATTCCATAATATTTTACACAAATATTGTAGACAAATAAATTAGTATGTTGTTAATAATATTATTCAAAATTTTAAGTGACAATATTGTTTACATGTTTAATTACACTCTTTTGATATAACTTATATTTATTCAATTGTCAGCATCATTCCCACAAATATTTGAGATGTCTCAGAAATAGAAATAGAATTGCATATAATGTAAAATTCCATTAAATAACACGAATATAAATACCCTATTCTTAAATGACTGACTTAAAGGAAACAATACGCATAAATGGTAATGTATATGAAGTAAATATAAATAATGAAGCTATTTATATGTGTAGTCACTGAAACGATAAAATAGTCAGGTTATATTTGGATATTTCAAAACACTACCAAAATTTGTATACATATTGCAACGAAAATGTACAAACAAATAATTTTTTGTAACAATAATAACTTGCAATTTAAAGAGCTAAGTAGAACAGAAAGTAAAGGGGTCAATTACCAATAAGGAAACATGATGAGGTTAAGTTAATCTAACCTCAAAGAAAATAAAACAATGTAATTCATCGTTAATTTCTAGAATTTCCTTAAAATAAAGATACTTTGTGAAAACTGTTCTTTTCCATGGTGATACTTATAATATCACTTGTATTAAATAGGTAGTTTACAAGGAAACAGAAGTAAGTGAAGAAAAGAGACGCAGTTTGACAGTTGCTTCACTACTTACAGCTATTTCTGCTTTTCGTTTCACTAATTCAGCGAGTTCTGCTCGCAAATCGACGGAGGACTTCGTCGACATTACGTATTTAAATATATTAATGTAACAACGACAACAGATCGAACTCTCTTGCGTAAAAACGTCGTCTTTTTACTCAACAAATACCAGTTTTATTTTTTCGACGAAAACTTCCTCGAACACCTTGAAGTTGCCGTTGTCTGGTCTGAATCAAAACATTGCTCAGATAAAAGCGGCAATATTTGAATTTGAAATGTGAATCAAATCAAGTTTCCGTAATAAATGTTTCTCCTTTCAATTTAACAATTAATCGTATGATAAAAAAAGACGAAACATAAATATTAGAAAACTCAAAATTGAATTTTACTCGATTATTTTCTTTA